TTTATATATATATATATATATATATAAAACAATTGAAGTAGAAAAATTATGTAATTTCTAACTTTATTATTTTAAAAACTTCATTAAGTGTAATTTTAACAAATCAGTCAATTTTAACCTTTAATAGGCTAATATAGTAATGTAGTACCAACTGACTCTCATGTATATTTTACAGCATTAGTTGAGAGATTTTTTTCCTTGAAAAAATTTGGCATGTACTGTACCTGATATAGGCTAGGCTATATCGAAAATAATCAATACTGAATAGAATCGAATCGAATTGGTAATCCAATCGAATCATGAAATTTGTGTCAAAACCCAGCCCTAGTTTTCACGCAGTTCAGTGATGTGAGGGAAGTTCAAGTACGAGTCATCTTTACAGACAGAACAGTTACTGCCGCTCATCAATGGCAGCTGTCACAGTTGCTAGGCGACAAGCGCAATCCTCTGTCCTAGACCGTCCATTTAACAACCCTCGGTCTGACCTTCACAGCCTTCGAAGACGTGGCCTTTGCAGTCTGAGTCCTTTGAAGAATGCTGTCTCTGAATTGGGACATAGCTTATAAGAGGGCAGAAAGAACACTGCTTCAGAGAAGTTCACTTCTCCCCTGCAACAGACTTGTATAAAGCTGTTGAGTGTGAAAACTTGCATGTCCTATTGAATTACAATTGGTGTGCACACTTTGTGGATACATGTGCTCTGGTGATTAAACTGTTGTAGCATTTTCATTCAGTTATAGAAATATTTCTTTTGACTATTGTTACGTATTTAAAGGTCTTGCTTCTATCTCTCATGTTGTTTCGTTTTACTTTATTGGAAGCTGTAGGGTGAGAGTGCCACTTTCTTTTGAAATACTAAATGTTTATCCCTATTTTTTGTTAGTTAGGGAGTAGATGGAAGCCTATTTTGTTTATTTCTTTTCTTTTACATGTATAGGTAATTTAGTTCCCCTCTTAGTAATTAGTAACTAGTTTTTTTTTGTTTTGGGCAGGCCCTCTCCTGAAGACATTGATTGCTTCCAATTTCTTTGTAGAATTAAAAATTATCTATTTTTGTTGGAACGTGCATGTGTGAAATCAGTCCAATAGAGTGGCGCCACATCACAGGTGGGGTGACATAGCCACCCATCCGGTGTAAAAAGCATTAGCTTCTGCTCTTCAGCAAGTGCTTTTTGTTGTGTCCCTCAGCAAAGTGTGTGTGAAAAGTGTGTTGTGCCAGTGCACAAATTCAGTTCTTTGAAATATGCAGAGTGATCAGAAAGACAAGCAGCATTTTAGTCTGTGTTCCTCCATGCCCGCACTATATTACGGATGGGGATACACATGATCTTTGCATTGCTTGTTTTGAAGCGAAGCATGCACGATCTGCTCTCGAGGGTCTGATTGTGTGCATACTGAGTGGCTGCCACTGCGCACTCTCTGCTCCCACCTGGTGCTCTTTGAGGAGTGTGCACAGGCTCGAGGTCCTCGCAGTCCTGGTCCCACTTCTGCTGAGGCAGAGCGGCAACTGAGATCGTGGGGATCGCAGATGGATTGGAGAAGGGCATGGCCCTTTCTTCACCCTCACCCACTAGATCCAGTGCCTTCTTTGAGGGATCGGAAGCATGCTCTGTGGTCTCTTCCCCCCGGAGTGAAGGGCACGATGCTTTGCCTCTCTTCCTCTGAGGAGGCTGATGTGGTGAGCATCGAACAGGATGAGACTGGGGACTCGTCACCCCAGTCCATCCAGTAAAAGGAGCTGTTGGAGATGGTGACTTGTGTTGTGGCCAAGTTAAAGATCAATTAGCTGGCCGAGAAGCAGAAAGATCATCCTAAAAGCAAGCTGGATGAACATTTCCTGCGCTCTAAGTCACCTCTTCCATGCCGCGGCCTTCCTTTCTTCTCTGATCTCCATGCTGAGTGTCAAAATAATGGGAAAAGCCTTATTTACCCTGTCTTTTCAGCCCTAACATCAGTAATTACAAAAACATCTTGGGGCTGAAGGAACATGGCTATGAGGTGATGCCTCGGGTTGAACAGACACTAGCGAGCTATCTGTCTCCAGAGTCAGCATCATGTCTGAAGGCTCCGGCATTGCCCTCCAGGCCATTAAAGACAAATTAAGCCTTATTGGGTAAAGCTTTTATGTTGGCAGGTCAGGCTGGTGCTCTTCTGCACACCATGGCAGTTTTGCAGGCATACCAGGCAAACCTGCTTAAAGAACTGGATGAAGGCAAGGAAGTGTACTCTGACGACATTAAAGAACTTTGTTGGGCCGCTGATTTGTCTCTCCGGGCCACCAAGGAAACGACCAGAGCTATTGGCCATTTCATAGCAGCATTGTTGGCTACGGAGAGACATCTCTGGTTGAACCTGTCAGATATGAAAGATAAGGACATGTTCTTCATTTTGAAGGCCCCGCTTGCTCCTCCTGGCCTCTTTGGCGATGCTGTCAGCTCTGTCGTCGATAGGTTTCAGCATCTCGTTCCCTTTGGGAAACCATGGTTACAGATGTAACCTAGGGACATTGCTTTACATTTCTGGGACAGAGGACTGAAGGGAATGTTTTTTCTTTTAGTTTAGTTTTTACATGTTTTTCCCTCTTCCCAACCCTAGATTAACTAACAGTGTTATAGATGGAGACAGACACTGGCTGTTTACATGCACAACTTTTGAATTCATTCCTATTTATGAATCTGAATGTAGTCTTTAAAATGAACGCTAAATAAAGTTTATATGTCACAAGCCTCAAATCAGAATTGATTATTTTACATGCACACACTGCACGAATATTGGCACGAATATTCCCACTGTTTGCACATAATAACCATTCTCATACACTGTTACTTTATTTGTTTTAAACGGCAGACTTAATATTTATCTCTTTCTGGTCATAATTTGGCGAACAAATTTATCATGCAGTACAAATGCCCCTACCCGCACCCAAAACCAGTCGTCTGTGGATGAAAATATGAAATAAGGACTGGTGGGACATTGTCCTGCTCCACTTCACAAATGCTGATTGAAAGGAGAGTTTTCAAATAAATGCAATTTGCATGCACAGTCCTTTCAGTTATGAAATAAACCAGTCCTTTCAAAACAATCACAATTGATGTTTGATGATCAAACCGATTGATCCATCAATCCGATTACTAACATTATTTGGTTGCATATAAACATAGGCACTGAGAAAAGATGAATTTGATCCATTTTAATGTGAATTAAATGAGATTCCACTTCAGTTATCAGAAATTAATATTCCTCGTTTTGCTTATCTTTCTGCTTATCACCTCTTTTTTCATCATTATGTTTATTCTTAGTGTTTGTGTACTATTTTTTATTTAATTAGTTTAGTTTTGGTCAGACTATAAACTATTTAAAAATATGTCTCTCTGAGCACTAGATTGTGACTATCAGAGAGATGAACTTACCTCAAATTCTCCAGTTTACAGTGAGGATTCTTCAGTACATCAGAGAGCAGCTTCACTCCAGAGTCTCCTAGTTTATTCTCAGACAGATCCAGTTCTCTCAGGTGTGAGGGGTTTGATCTCAGAGCTGAAGCCAGAGCAGCACAACCTTCATCTGTGACACCACAATTACTCAACCTGTAGAGAGCAATAACACAACTCTTCACTCTTTTAGATCAAAACATACAGGGCACATTTCCCAAAAGCATCAAAATCTAAATCAGGGGTCTCCAACATTTTGGTGAGCGAGGACTACCTCAGGGGATAATATCATCTAGTGGGCTACTTGTTAGTTATACTCAACCATATTTAATTTATTATAAATATAACATGGTTGGTGGTTTTTCACTTTTACTTTTAATCACCATCATACACAAAATAAATACAATATATTGATATACTGGATGTCTTACAAGCGTTTAAATTTTTTTTTTATTCAACAACCATTCCTGAAAAATGATAAAGAATATATATTGAAACTTTTAAATTAAATTAATTAATTAAATTAAATTTTCTCTCTGAAAATCACATTACACTTTTCCTGAATATTTGAATTTTTTTTCCTGAATGAGTCATTTTCCAGAGTGGTAAAAATAAGTGTTTGATTTTGTTTCATGGAAATGGAAAAGTTGGGATGCCAATGTAAATTACAAAATTTTAAATATAAAAAAAAACATCATTTTGAAATTTAAATATTCTGACATTGTGACTATTGAGACTAGACAGCCCTTGCTTCTGTTTTCTATTTGCTCAATACATTTACCATTTGTTCTTCCATAGTATCATACATTTGTAGATCATGGTAACCCAGGTAAAACCATGCATTACTCTTCACTACAACAGTAAAAGTATAATGTCTCGGTTACGTACATAACATCTCTTCCCTCCATCAGGGAATGAGGGTTATGTTGTGACGATATCAGGGGTCTTACTTGGGAGCCCCAATCACCTCTGAGTTTAAGAAAAAAGGCTAATGAGTATTGGCGAGTAGATTTTGCATGCCAAGCCACTCCCCCATACATACGGGTGTAAAAGATGGCGGCACTCATTTAGGTTTATGCTGAGTAGCCGAGATTGTGTCCCAGCACTCATCGAGTGGTTCAGGGTTGTGGCAAAGGGACATAACATCCCTCCATCAGGGAATGAGGGTTACGTACGTAACTGAGATGTTCTCGATCTGTCGGTCACTACGAGTTATGTTAGTTTAGTGAAGTGACGTGTGGCCAAGTATGACCTATACTCAGAATTTGTTTAATTTAACCCATCCAAGTGCACACACACAGCAGTGAGTAGTGAACACACACACACACACACACACACACACACACACAGAGCAGGGGGCAGCCATATTGCTGCGGAGCCCAGGGAGCAGTTGGGGGTTCGGTGTCTTGCTCAAGGGTCTCACGTCAGTCATGGCATTGAGGGTGGAAGAGAGCACTGGTTATTCACTCCCCCCCCCCCACTGAAAATTTCTGCCAGACCTGAGACTCGAACCCACAACCTTCGGTTTACAAGTCCGACTTTCTAACCATTAGGCCATGACTGCCCGACTGCCCCCATTAGGGGTCCCTATGGAAAGCGCCACAACCACTGAACGTCATTACAACTTGTGGCGTTGCAATTGCTGACAAGCCGTGGAGTGTCAAGTCAAACACCCCTGCACAACACCCCTGAGCAAATTCACTGACCTTGGTGCCAAGGGGGGCCAATGGTGAGTGTGCTGCCCTTAGAAATTGAAATGGTATTTTTGTGTATTATTTTACTATTTAATTTGTATATATTGTGAATTATTTCCTCCGGGACTTTTATTTTGAAATTGCAATCTCACTGCGCGCAAGTTTGGGTATGTTCAGAAACCAAAGAGAAGGAATGATGATGCAGCACAACTCAGAAATGCGATCTTTTAACAGTTTAGCTCTGGAAAACATTTGACTGTAAGTAGTTTATGATCTTAATCAAGTTGCTATGGAGGTTTGAATATAACAAGTGATTTTACTTTCTTTGATGTTAAAACGAACACAGTTATTGAAGAAAACGTTTCTAAATGAGAGCAAACAGTTGACTGTTATCAAACAGGATAATTGCAATTATGTTTTCTTGTAATGTTTATTTACATATTGCATTTTCTATATTTTCAGTTTTACAGTAAAGGATAATCACCAAGAAAAGTACGCCTTGGGACTTAATAAATAATATTGTTTTATTGGATAAATGTTTGCTATCTGTCTAATGGAGCACAGTCACATTCTATGAGGGCAGAATAGTGAGTACATCGCTGCTGGAGAAGGCCATGCTGTTGTTTCATCCACCGAAATTCTTTAACAGGAAGAATTTCAACTTCTGGTAAAAGACTTGCTTCAGATCTTTTTCCCCTTTTTTCAGAAAGGCTAGATGGAAACATTGGGGAAGCGTGCCTTGGTCCAAGGGATAAGGCCGCCACGGAGACCACATCCTACCTGCAGGGAGATGATGTGGAGATACTAACATGGACTGACCCAAGGAGGGCAGTACTACATATGGAATAGGTCTCTGAGGTAGGTCCTACCTGGAGTAGGGCTGGAGCTGCTACCAACAGAGACGGACAGAGCGGAACTGTCCAGGGGAAGGCACCGGTTTACCATAAGGGATACCTTACCATGGAAGAGTATACATCTGGAATTGCCCACAGGGAATCACATAGATGGGACACCTAGCTCAGTACAGGGGCTGACCGGAGCTCTGGGAAAGCTAACACAAGTACTGGGCCTGGTGTCAGACTCCACTTCCTTATTACCCAACACACGAGAAGAGACTGGCGCTACGTGAAGGTTGTAGAACCTTGCGAAGGTATTAGGTGTCCTATAAGGCATCCAGCCCGCAGCTCTGCAGATGTCTGCTAGAGAGGCGAAGTGCACCAAAGCCCAGGAGGAGGCTACACTACAGGTGGTGTGAGCCCTCAGCCCCAGGGGGCATGGCTCGCCTTGGAATTTGTACGCCAAAGCGATGGCATCCACTATCCAGTGGGCCAACCTCTGTTTGCAGACAGCCTTCCCTTTCTGCTGGCCTCCGAAGCAGACAAAGAGCTGCTCGGAGCTTCTGAAGCTCTGGGTGTGGTCCACTTATATGCGCAGGGTTGGCACGGGACACAGCAATGCCAAGGCTGGTTCTGCCTCCTCCAATAGCAGCAACATACACGTTCAAGGTGGAGGGTGACAGCCTACACTCCAACCTTTCTTCGGGGGTCTTCTCGCCGAGAAGAACACCAGTCAGTGAACAAACTCCACTTCAAACCATAAGCTCGCCAGGGAGCTCTGGCTGGAGAGATCGTGTCAAACACTGCTGGTGGCAGATCATTTAAGTCTGCCATGTCCCATCCAGTAAGCACAAGTGGAGGTTCCAGAGGTCTGGACGCAGGTGGGAGGGGCTGTCGCAAGGAGCATGAGTTCTGAAAACCAGGTCCAGGTGGGCCAGTAGGGTGCAACCCGCAGGACCTGTACTTCATCCTCCCTGACTTTGCACAGTGTCTGTGCGAGAAGGCTCACTGAGGGAAACGCATACTTACGTGTGCCCTGGGGCCAGCTGTGTGCCAGTGCATCCATGCCGAGGGGGGCCTTGGTCAGGGAATAGTACAACTGGCAGCGGGAGGACTTTTGGGAACAGGTCTACCTGAGCTTCCCTGAATTGACTCCAGATCAGCTGGACCACCTGGGGATGGAGTCGCCATTCTCCAGGGAGAGTGAGCTGCCATGAGCGCATAGGCTTCACGGTTGAGCTCCCCCGGAATGTGGATGGTGCACAGCGACTTGAGCCACATCTGACTCCAGAGGAGGAGATGTTGGGTGAGTTACAAGTCACCATTTTCTTCGAGGACTTAGCGGCGGCCTGGGACATGGGGGTGCCACTTTCATGTGTGGAGCCCTCGACAGATGGGTTGCAGGAGGAGGGTTATCAGGGCAAGATGTGCTTAACCCCTTAACTGACAAAGATTGGCGATGGCCTCAGTTTATTGTGGATTCACTTTCACAGCACGTTAAAACATCAAACTCTTACTTTATCTGGACAAACTGTGCATCATTAGAATGATTAAAGACTCTAGCTTCGATATTTGACCACTGTTTTGATCAAACTGTTGCAGTGACAGTAATTTATTAATTTATGTCAGGAGTACAAAATAATAAATCTGTATATGTCATATTTGGAATAGAAATACATCATGCATTCATATTCAGTCACATCTGCAGCGGTTTGTGTTCACATAGCTTCACTGAACAGCGCCAGTAAGGGCATATAGTCCAAAGATGCATTTACATGGAGATATATAGATAGATTTACTCATGTTTACTTCATATTTCTTCAGACAGAATCATAATTTCTATTCATTTCCACTGATTTACACTATCTAAAGAAAACTAGCAGCTCCCTGGGCTGTCTCGGTGTGTTTACTCTTCCGTGCGCGCACTCGGACTCAGAGAAACCTGATTCGTCCATCGTTGTGTCAGTCATAAATGTGCATCATATCCCACCCCATCTCATCCTGTGATGCACTTTCCTGCTCTCCCACGTTCATATCTGACCACAACAAACACAGAGAAACGTCTGTACCATGAAATATCAAAATAATAAACACATGATTATACATGATAAATCTAATTTGTGCTGCGATATAAAAGGCTATAAATAGCATATTTTAACAACAGTAAACAACCAAATTCCACATGAGATCACAAAAATAAGTTATTACAAACACTCAATGGTGGTTTAAATGGTGGAGTAAAAGTGTACTAATAATCTCATAAATTGTCTTGTGTAGCTTGATGCTAATGTTAGCTCTAGTGCAGCTGCAGAATAGATGCAGTTCTTCTTCATAATATATTTTGTCATAATAATTGACGTAAGGCCATAAGAAAATGTTTTGTTGTATTTTTTTTAGAAATACTTTTGATAATAGTTGGGTAAATGTATACTGGGATTGAAGCAATGTGGCTTGGTAAACCTTGTAATAGAGACCTGCGTGGGACGGACTTTTCCGTCTTTAATCACTAAAAGCTGACATCTCAGTTCATCGCGATCTCATAATGTTATAACACAATGAACATATGCACAATGAATCTTTCACAATGTCTACACTTCGTGTGTTAAAATGAGACGATTTGTGATCACGCAATTTCAGCACTGCTGTGAGTGGATTCTAACTTAATCACCTCTGGTTGGCCATTGCATTCCAGAAATGAACAGCCAAGTCTGTGATTGGCTACATTGCGCAACCCTTTAAACACGTTTTACAAATAGAAACTCTGCCTAGCTTGCGCGTTAATTATTTTAATGTTATTAGTTGTTCTTTTTGCTTTTGTTGCTGAAATTTGACATAAAGCATTAGTAGACTTTTGGCTTTAGCTTCATTGTGTTTCTAAAAGCATTTACCACAGCAACATATTTTTTCTACATTTAAAAAATATGTTTTTGTTTTTATGTTTGAACTTATACATCTCTATTATTGTAACAGTCTGAGTAATTCTGATTCTTGAACAGTAAACTTTGAAGTATCAGCTTTGTGAATACTTGTTGAGATTATGTATCTAGTCAGAAAGACTCAGGAGCAGAAACCTTTTTATTTTGAGTATGTCATTTGTCTCTCCATGCCGAAAATGGGGGGTGACAGCATAGGGGTTAATGGCCTCAGTCTGCTTCTGTACTGCCGAGAACTACTTGGCAAATTACTCAACAGTGTCACTAAATTGGCCAGCATGAGACATGGGAGAGTCAAGAAAGTGAACTTTGTCAATGTCTCTCATCTCTTCAGGTTGAGCCAGAGATGGTGCTCTTGGACCACCAAGGTGGACATCACCTGCCCGAGGGACTGCGGCGTGACTTTAGTCAGTCACCGTGCGCAGCTCCTGCATCAACTTCGGGTCAGTACTACCCTCTTGCATCTGTTTAAGTGTCTTGGCTTTGTGAACTTGCAGGAACACCATGGCACGCAGCACTATAAGCTTTGGCAGCCAAAGCTGACGTCTGCTTACAGGCTTTGGACAGGAGGTGTGGACGATTCCTTCAGGTGGCGGAGCACAGATGCACCACAATTGCTATCTCCACCTGGGAATGTCAACGTACCCCCTAGCCGGCCCGCAATCAAGGGTAGTGAGAACGGAGGAGGTTGACGAGTTGCTTCTGGCCATAAAAGAGGCCTTCCACGACTTTGTGACCTCCTCATGCACCTCCGGGAAGAAAGGAACCGGGGCAGAATGCGGTTGTGAGACACGCCCCGCACTGAGAAGCTAATCATCCAGCCATGAGCTCTCAGGGCTGGGCAGTGTGTTTACTTCCAACCCGATGCTCACAGCTGCCTGGGCAAGCATGGCTGTCAGCTCTGGGTCCGATTTGGCGGAAGCCACAACAGCCGAGGGGGGCAGCCCCACCAAATCTTCATCCTCGGAGGACGATAGCCCATCCCCCGATGCTGCAATCAACATTTGATCCTCTGGCAGAGCCCCGAATGAAACGCTGGGACCGCCATGTGATGGGCCAGCGTAATCATCTGGAAGTTGCACGGGACAAACACTGCGTGAGGAGTGGGAGGTCCGTGAAGTCTGGCCCGATTGATTTGCTCCCACTGTAATCCTCAAATCTCCCAGAGCAATAACCGACAAGGCCCTGTGCTGTGCAGGGAAACTAGGATGGGTAGTGACAGAGGGGTCTCCACCTTTCCTGAGAAAGTAGAGACACGACTGCAGCATTGCCATGGACATGCACTCGCAGTGTGGGCATGAATCATCCACAAACGTGTTTTCAGCGTGATCTAAGCTCAGATGGAAGACAGAGATCATGGCTGTCATCAGGGGATGGGAAACAACTGCAACCAAGAGGACACGGATGGAGTGGCATCTTGAAAAAGACGCAGACCGTCCACAATTTGCTCTTTTAGAGAAAACTGCTCTAAGTCAAGTCAAGTCATCTTTATTTGTATAGTGCTTTATACAATACTGGTTGTGTCAAAGCAGATTTACAGTGTCAAACAGGAAAATAGTTTGTCAAGAATGCAAGAAGAGACTAACAGAGTCATTTGTCCAGCTAAAGTCAGTTCATTGATGATTCAGTGATGTCATCATCCAGTTCAGCTCTCTTCCAATAGTGTCTTTTAGAAACTGAATGTGGGGACACTGCTGTTTGCGCTGTCTCGCCAGTCCAGAAAGAGCGTCACGAGGTGAATGGCTTTGTATTGCTGTAGCACACCAAACCTGAATGAGTGGATGCCTGCCACCATCTTATATATCTTTCTACCAAAACAGTTTGTTTTTCTACAGTAACTCCATGAGTTGTGGAGTGAAATATGTTCTAACTTGTTTGTTCTCGGGAACAAAGTTTCTCCTGTTTTTCACATCAATATGTTGAGAATGTCAGCGCTATTTAATCTGGCTTTTAAACTAGTTTAAATCACAGAGGATTTACAGTGTCAAACAGGAAAATAGTTTGTCAAGAATGCAAGAAGAGACTAACAGAGTCATTTGTCCAGCTAAAGTCAGTTCATTGATGATTCAGTGATGTCATCATCCAGTTCAGCTCTCTTCCAATAGTGTCTTTTAGAAACTGAAGCGCTCAAAGGAATAATCGCTGAATGTGGTGACACTGCTGTTTGTGCTGTCTCGCCAGTCCAGAAAGAGCTTCATGAGGTGAATGGCTTTGTATTGCTGCAGCACACCAGCAAATACTCGGCTCCGAAGCAAAAACCTGAATGAGTGGATGCCTGCCACCATCTTATATATCTTTCTACCAAAACAGTTTGTTTTTCTACAGTAACTCCATGAGTTGTGGAGTGAAATATGTTCTAACTTGTTTGTTCTCGGGAACAAAGTTTCTCCTGTTTTTCACATCAATATGTTGAGAATGTCAGCGCTATTTAATCTGGCTTTTAAACTAGTTTAAATCACAGAGATATATGTGGGTTTATAATTGAGATTTATTTATTTTAATAATGATTGCGTGATGGGGTTAGCTGCTTTGGATGCGCTTGCTGTTTATTGGGCCAAGCTGATAAGCGGTCCGCACTGCGCAGTTAAAACAAATTTCATTACGCTTTTGGAGCATTTGCTATTTTTGATGTTTCTCATGTGTGCATAATCAAATAGAGTTGGGTAACTTTGTAGTGGCACCAGTGCAAAATTTTAGTTGCACTAAAATTTTAGTACACAAAAAAAGGTCACAAAATCATACCATTTAGTTGCAGTCTGGAGCCCTGAATTACAGTGGCTCTCAAATGCAAGTTGGGGCTTTTTATAGAATGTGCTTAGTGGGCAACTCACAGGCTCCATGCAGGCACCACTTTGGAGACCACTGATCTAAGTAGAATTGTATGAATCCTAAAATTACGGTCTGTTTCCCAAAACCAGTGGTGTAAAGTATTTGAGTAAATGTAATTAGTTACCAGACATGTTCACAAGTCCCTAGAGGCCAAATCCAAGTCAAGTCTCAAGTCTTTGTTCTATTTTTAGCAAAAGTACTTTCAGCTAGTTATTGTAATTAATATCAAAACTTTCTACTTCACAAAATATCTAATAAAGCACACTTTATTTTATTGTGCATTAATGCAGTTTTATATTATTATGAAAGTCTGTTGCTCACTGGCTCTGAATACACATACAGACAAACCATGGCTCACAGGAGGGGGCTGTTGATCAGTACTGGCTTGGGATGGGTGTTATCACGCGTCTCATCCAATGAGAGCATTTGGGGTGGGCCTAAGACTGCAGCAGCGCTCACATGAAGAGCTCACGACTTCATAAGCGGGAAATATGAAGTTTCCGACAGCAGTCTAGAGCTGAAATTTTCTGTTATAAGTGTGGGGAAGACGGACACACCAGAAGGGAGTGTCAAGGGGTAGACGATCTGCGTAAGGT